TCCCACAGGTAAAATACTTTCATAAAGCTTCACAGAACTCCACAGCACAACTGGACATAAGCAGGTAGTTGTTTTCAGGTTCTCAGCTTGCCTTACCTAAATTGTACTCTGCAAAGGCACACAGACCTCTTTTTCATGTGCAAGAAAAAAGTACCCGGACTTGGTCACCTCCCTGAGAAGAGTTCAGTTTGTGTTTCTTCTCTTTCACCACACCCTGACTCTGGCGCTGCCATTTCGCTGGAGTGCGTGGTACTGCCTGCCCTGGAATCACATCAGCTCCATCCCAAAGACTCTGTCTGCAGATCATGAACTCCTGCCCCAAACTGATTCCCTTCCTGATACAACCTTGCTCAACAGTTAGGTCAAGAGGGAAAAGATTGGACTGACGAGTTTTAGAGGGCAGCGTGGGGATGAGGGGGGTTTTCTTCTGGGAACTGGAGAAGAGCACATCAGGACTTGCCTAAGGCAAGGGACTTGCCCTCCCCCCTTTCTTGCCTGCTGGAAACTCTTCTCAGATCTCATCCTTAATATCTTGTCTGATCACTACTAAATCTTCTAACAAGCCAGATCTCTCAGGGCTGATGTCTGCAGAAAAGCTTCAGGAATGCAAGCTTTCTCTCTCTTTTCTATGTTTTTCTGTAGAAATAATTTCCATGTGTACTTCTACATAGAGAGACAGCAGTGGCAGCTGGATCGCTGTTTTAGAAAGTTTATCTCCTCTGCAATAATTCCTAAAGAAACAAAACTGTCCAGTGGAACATAATGAAACCAGCCATTCTGATGATCGCTCCAGCAGCATTTTTTCTCTTTACAAAAGGATTTGACTCCGAGGAAACACTCCTCACCTTTCACGCTGTGGGTTTTCTCCCCTCTCCCTGTTGCACGAGAGTTATTTTTCTGATCCGTTCCTTTAAGCCCCTCTGCTTTTTTTAGGCAACTTCCAGACATCTGATACAGTATATGTGAATTAGGTTCCATTACACGAAGGCTTAACCTTCTCGAAAAGCATTCAGCTCTTGCCAGGAGTCATCAATATTTAACAGCTGTTGTTATTATGAAATACTTCATAGGGTAATGCGGCTCGTCTGCTCGCACGCAAGGGTTTGAACAGGCGCCAGGCCCCTGTCAGAGCCACGGGGAGATTGACAGGCGGCGAGGCTTGCGTGACAGCGGGGCTGAGGTTAGTCAGCAGTCTGCCTCCTCCGCAGCAGGGACTTCTCCTCCCCTCTGCCTCCCCTTCAAAAGGGCTCCTCCGGACACGGGCTGGGGTCTCAGGGGGGTGATGTGACCCCACCAGCTCCACGCCAGGGGTGTGGGGAGAGGAGAGCTGCCCGGCGGGGGCATCTCTTTGATGCCCCTCTCGCACGGGGAAAAATGGATGAGGGAAAGGGGCAAAGTGGTTCTGAAAGAAAGAGGGGACGGGATCTGGAAAACAAACAGTTCGGTTTGTACCTTAAATAAATGTCATGCTGTACTCGGGAAACTTCAAAGGGCAGTCAGATTTCAAAGCATCCCTTAAAAAGAAGCAGACTGGGAAAACCGCTAAGTTGGGAAGAGTAACTTTGCATTATTGCTAGCATAATTTCATCTGGCACTCTGGTAGCCTCCGCAACAGGACTGAGCACCATACATCTTCTATTCAGAGGGTGCATTTTGGTGCTGATTTCTTTCCTAAAGTGTTCATGCGACCTATATGTTGTTGCATTCCAGAGTGCAAACATCCCTTTCATATTGTTTGGCAATGTATAATAGCCATTCTTTATGGCGTATATTGTTTAATTTCAGCGTACATCTAATAAGCCCTGTCCTTATTGTCACTCAGTGTTCTCTGCAGCAAGAGGAAACAGACCATTTCAGTTCATGGCTGTGGGTTTGTTAAGCAGAATTGCTCACACCAAGTGTTTCCTAGTTGTTTTGTTTTGTTTTCTTAGCATTCAGGGTAACATGCATAGCTGATTCTTCCTGCGGCTAAAAGATCCAGGAAGAAAGACCCTGTTTTCACTTCCTTTCAAGTAACAGTTACTAAAAGTAAGACTTGTATGCATAAAGCAGTGTCTCTGAACCTGCAAGCTGCAAGCTACATTCAGGTATTTTCATCAGTCCATGTAAAAAAACCCAGCCAAACAATTTATCCCTTGGGCATCACTGGAGAGAAATGGTCTCACAGGTACTCCTCACTGAAGGGCTTGAAACTGTTATGCCTGCATCATACTGAGTCTGAAGAAGACAGTGCTGTCCCTTTCTTATGCCTCAGATGAAACCAGGCAAGGTGTTCAGATAAGAAGCAGCATCCTCTCACTGCTCATTTCTTGCCTGTGCTGCTGCTTGATGCAGGTAGCCTGAGCAGTGCAAGGCTCCTGGGTTGGTTGGGTTATGGTTTGACCACACATCAGTTGGTTACAGAGCTTAGGTGGCAGGTAATTTTGCCATTTATTTGCTGGAGAAAGAAGGTTGTGCTTGTTCAGGAAGAGGTATAGAAACACTCTGGAGAATGTAATCCCATGGATTTGGAAAGTAGAGAAATTTCCATCCCTCTGAACAAAAAGAGTATTCTGCAACAAATAAATGTTCTGTTATTTCTGGGGGAAATGGAACGTCTGGTTTCAGAATGCTTTTACAGACTTTAAAGTGTCAGGCAGCTTTTCCCTTCTTTACAATATTCCAGATTTGGTTTTCAAGCCAAGGGGTTTGCAAATGCAGATAGCGATGATCGTATCAGAGCTAGAGGCTCAAAAGAGATCTCAGGCTTTTACAGTGCTTTGGGGACAGACAGTGCAGCTGTGACAAGCTCAGCAGTACTGCCTGAGACAGTCCCATACTCCTTCAGCCAGACTTACCATCCCTTTTGTGGACATTTTTTCCTCTGTCAATTAACTGTCAGTTCTAACTCTACATTATTTTTTTATTTCCACTCTTTTCACCTTTTTTAGCTCCGAACCTGGACCAACGGCCTCACATCTGGTACCTTTCCTCCAGGAAGTTGCACTGGCCATTTTTCTTTACTTTCTTCTTCTTCCTCTTCCTCCTCCTCTTTGCCCTCTCCTCCTCTTTGTACATTTCCACAGTGTTGTCCTTCTGTAGGACCCAGTGTGTCCCAACTTGTGGCCTTTTAATGTTGCCTGGGATTGCACCATGCTCGCTAGATCTCGTGAACCTGCAAAACCGTCAGCCCTGGTACATGTATATGTCGTGTTTACCACCCTGTGGTATCAATTTGCTCATTCATCTTCTTTGGCAGAACAGCTCCATCTTCTGTTTCATTTTGTGTTCTGGAAGTGCAGGCTAGATAAGTGCTCAGAAACAGGTCTCTCTTGTTCCAGCTTCACATTTCTTCAGTCTGCCAGTTTGGAACCTAGTAGGTGAGCACTCTGCGCTGAATTGCTGATAATCCAGTCTAAAGAGTTGCCACTCCCATCAAAAGCAGTCCAAGGCTCCATAAAACTAAAACTTTCCAATATATTTATTGACTTATTTACAGCCAGCAGCATGCACCACACTGCCTGCAATGTCAGTTACTTCCGTGCCCCATTCCTGATACGTGGGAACACCAGCAGCCAGTTTTCCCCTCAGGTCACTGAGTCATCGTTTGCTGCTTGTTATTTTTTAGCTCTCCACAGTTTGCTCCTCCCTGCCTACTAGAGACAGCCCTCCGGCGTTCTCCAGACTTTCATTTGTCTTCGGCATCGTAGGCTTTACCGTTGCTCCAGAGGGCCACCATTTTATGTAATGTCTAAGCTTGATCACAGCCCTCCTGGCATCCAGGGCTTTTGCTATCAAGCCGCCTGCCATAACCAATACTTGCCGTCAGTTCTCTCTCTGGATTCTTGGTGGTGACAGGGGTATAGTTAGGCTGCTCTGCTTTCTTTTCCCCATTTTTCTGCCTAGTCAGGTAACACCTTGCAGTTCTCCCTCCTCACCCTGTCATGTTGTGCTTTTCCTCCTCCTCCTTCATCCGGGCGGTCCGTGTGGTTTTCTGCCTGTCTTGCTCCGCTTTCTCCAGGTGACAGGCTATCACCAGCAGTAGTATCTCTCCTGAGCTGTTCCTGCCATATCAGCCAGCCCTGGGTGGATTAATACGTGTTTCCAGCGCAGGGAGGCAGAACAAGAGTGAACAGTGAGCCACGGCTCTGCCGCCTCAGGTGCAAGGAGCAAACAAATGTCGCTGTCTCCGAGGAGCTCTTGCTGCTTGCCATGAGGGGTGTCATTCGTCTTTGATGGTGCAACGGGTCTCCCTGTGGTCTAGGCCAGCGAGTAGGGTATGTTATGAAACGGATGTGTGTGGCCGAACATATGGGTAACTCTAGCTGGCAAAATAACATTAAAATACTTTCCATTTGGAGATGGAATTTATAGTAGCCAGACAAGCTGTGGAACAAACATCTCTTGTGCTTCTGCTGCTGTGTTTGTGTGAGCCTGAAGGCTAACAAACAGGCAGGGAGCTCTGGCCCGCTCAGTCGGGTAGAATAATAGTTTCCACTAACGATGAAGTCTGAACTGGTGGAATTTTCACAACGCCAGAAGAGCGCATCAAAAAAATAAACCTTCGTTTCCTCGCACCCCTCCCTGTCTGTCCTTTAACCTGCACAAAGACTGCAAACCGCCGTGGCAGTAACCACAAAACCATCCCTTCGGAGGGAGAAAACGCTGGAAGATGCCACTGGAATAGGGGCTGGGCTCTTAAGAATTATTCTCACAAGTGTCCGTATGTCTGTTCTTAGGGACGGGCATAGCAGAAGGCTTGGCTGATCTGGGGGAAAAAAGCACAACCGTTTCCAATTAGTTCTAAAGGTATCCGAAAGTGAAAATGCAGATTGAAGAGCCTGTGTGTCCCGTTCATAGCAGCCTAGCTTACAAGTCTGAAATCACAACGTTGTTTTGGCTGGAAAACATGGGTAGGGATCTGTTTTAGGCAGCTTGGGATTTTCCTGATGTGTTTTCCCATGCCCAGGGGAGGGATTTATTACATCTAATTATACATTTGAGATGATTGCTTTGGGGTAATGACCAACATTATCACTGGCGGCAAATATTTACAACGTAAGCTAAAAACCAGCACGAATACTCAGTCAGTGTGGTTCTGCGTTGCCATGATCTGTTGTGAAATGCTGATGGGTCTTGCAACAGTCCCTCACTAGGCTGTTAAATTGAGTCACAGCCCTTTGTGATTCCATTTAGATCAACAAATATTATTCAAACTATTTAAAAATATATACCTTTTTCTTAATTTGATATCTTACTAAAATTTAAATCCCATTAAATGTCATGAATTTTAGCTGCAAGCTCAAGAGTGTTAAAGGATTGCTGGCTGTCTCCTCTTCGTGTTCTGATTTGGTGTAAACTACTCCTCTTTGTGTCAACCCTTCTTTTTTGGATTATTAACCATCTCTGTCTGTGGCTGCTCCAGCTCTCTTTTAGATGTAAGGGATAATGTGTATCAAATGTCCCAGCTAATCTCATTGGTATTTTCTCCTCTCTCATTCTCTCCGGGGAAAGGAGAACAAACAGAAAGCTGAATCGCTGTTTGCTACCTGTATATTTGTATGACCATCTCTGGGATGGGGCAGCAGGAGTGAAGCTGACTCAATTTTTACTGAGCAAACGGTAAAGACAGGTTCATGTCATGCTCCCTAGATGATGCAGGAGCCCAATGTATCAAGGGATGTCAGCCTTCTCAGAGATTCTTTCATTATCCCCAGAAATGGGATTGTATTTCAGGAATATTTTTGTGGTATATATCAATATCGAGACCGTAATTGGAGTATTAAAAGACATTTCAGATCAAGCAATGATACTCACGTGCAGGAAGCACTCACCAGTTTCAACTCCCGTGAAGGTTTTCATTATTACGAGGAAAAGTATATGCAATTTTAATCTATAGTGAGAGATTTTAATGAATTTCATGTAGTAAGTGACCTGCAAAAAACAAACTCTAAACCGCTGTTTAAAAATGAAACAGTTTAAGAACATTCCCTTGAATCTTACATTCATTCTCAGACTTGTAGAAGTGAGTAGGGTAAAGTGAGACTGAAAATAATCTGACACCACGAAGGTCAGCACTGAAAATAAGGAACTCATTTCAGTCCCTTGTCTTCTGAGCTATATAGACATTTCTTTATATTGTCATAATACATATTTTTATAAACAAAACAACTTGCTAACTTTCTTTTGTTTCTTTCCCATGGGTTCTGGTTGTTGCTTTATGTAGAGTACAATAATGGAAAAAATATGTTCAATAAAAAACGTGATAGATATTTCATATAAAAAACATCTGGACTGCCAAATATGTATCTATCTCCCTCACAGCAAAAGAAAGTTATGAGTAACTGGGATGTGAGTAACGGATGACAAAGGCAGTAACTCCCAATTAAATCAATGCATCTTAAGTGCCTAAATAAGAATTTTAGTCTAGAAACCCTAATCATTATGATTTCTAAATTAATAATAACTCTTTTCAACAGCCATTCAAGAAAAGCACTTTAAGAAGCAAGTTGGCCAAACGATAAAAGAAGACAATATATCTAACAAGACTGCTGTACAAGAAGGTGGACTTCTACTAGAAGTGAGTGGAAAAACGCTCTCTTTTCTGGCTTTAGGTTATTCAGTTTGATGCCATATTCAGTTTAATGCTTTGTGGCAGCTTTGAACAAATGGTCAAACTTGGTGTGGGTCATTCAAAAATCACACATGTGAGTGCTTTCTGGCAGTTGTGATAGTCCTGGTCAGTCTCCATTTGGCAGTTGTACCTTGCACCCTTACATCCTTGAAATTACTCGTGAACTCCAGCAGGCCAGTTTACAGTTCTTTTTCACTTGGGATGATAGAAGAGGTTTATTTTACTTGGCAAAATTTAGAGTGCCAACAGGAGCTTTCCTTGTTTCTGATCTGAGTTTAGATTATTCTGGGATATTTTAATTAATCCTGCTTCCTCAAGTCTGTGCTCTGAGGGAAGCTGTGTGTTAAGAAGTTATTTCTTCTATGCATTTTTATCCCTGGATTTCCATAAACATTTTTCTTAGGGACTTTATAGTGGCAGAGGAGGATAAAGGGGCCATACTTTAGTGAGAATTGGATCCATTAATCTGGAGGAAGAATAAATACTGCTGTGAACTACTGAACCAGATAGATCACAGCAGTCCATCCCAGATACATCTGCATTTCAAACACATGATGTAATAATGCCTTTTATACATTGAGGTCCTTGGAAATTCCTGTGTGATTAAGACTACATATGTATAGTTGCTTTGGATAGGATAATATTTGTGGTAGAAAAATTGTATTTTAATAACAGCTCTGAGATATATATAAATGTAAATGAAATAGTAGCCTCTAGCAAATAAATGCAGTATACTATTAAAGAAAAAAGGCAATTTATCATGGGATCCAATATCACAAGTTGTTCATAAATGGTATGGAATGGAAAAACTGACACCCTGCTTTCCTTCCTCATATTACTTAAGAAGATTTTAATTTTGTATTTCAAAGCAAGTAACACAGTCACCTGATTAGTTAGTGTTAGCACCAGAAAGAGAAGTTTGGCTGTCAGGTATTATGTGCAATCATAGAATCATAGAATGGTTTGGATTGCAAGAGACCTTAAAGATCATCTCATTCCAACCCTCCTGCCACAGGCAGGGACCTCTTCCACTAGATCAGGTTGCTCCAAGCCCCGTCCAACCTGGCCTTGAACACTGCCAGGGATGGGGCAGCCACAACTTCTCTGGGCAACCCATTCCAGTGCCTCACCACCCTCACAGTCATTTCCGTTCTCAATGATTAGGGAGCACAGGACATACTATAAAGGATGTCTATGGTGAGTGTGTAGTTTTTAATGAGGGTCTCCTATCTTTAGTCTATGCTTTTTTGGGTGTATATGACATGCCTACAAGTTACAATCATTAAGGATCTTCAGAGCTACTGGCACAGGGAAAGAACACTGATACATAATTTCAGGTAGGTTACACAAGACTAATATTACTGAATATGATAATGGTCTGCTAACTACAGCATACATAGGAGTCACATTCACAATGAATATGTGGGAGATATTTTATCCCGGATTACACTTAATGTGGATCATTAACGAGATGATTAAGAGCATGTTAATATGAATGTATTCACCAGGCTTCATTTGTGGGCATGTCTGACCTAGAATAAGAGGGTGACTTTTCTGGGAACATTCCCTGGGGCCTGAATTTGGCTTATACGCTCATTCAGTGGCTAAGGCATGTGAAAAAAATGGGGTTTTTTGTTCTTCCACCAAATTCACCATGCTGGTTATCAGGGACTGTGGGGTTTAACTAAATAGTCACATCTGTGCTTCCTTCCAAGGAGAAGCAAACAGTCTTGGTGCTGGTTGCTGTGCTTTATATATTGACTTGTAAATGTGGCCACTTTTCTGGCTCTCTAAAGACATTTTTCTGCTGTCAAAAGGCACTTTCCTTCTTGTGACTTTGCCTCGCACTGTGCAAACTCTCCTAGATGCTTTCCATAATACAAACCAGAATAATATGAATCACCAAAATATGTATGAATAATACTGTCTGTGAACACAATTTAATGGAAAAACAGGGATAATTGCCTTTGCCTTTTGCCTTTTTTTTTATTTCCCTAGTTAGTATGATCCCTCTGCTCTATGTATAGGTAGAAATATGGTACAAGAAGTACCCTAATTACTGGTAAATAACGTATCTGTGATTCTTGAGTCTTGGAACAATGCAGTACTTCCCCTTTCAGCTTGAAAGAAAATAATGGAATTAGGCTGTCTTCAAAGTATGTTTAAAATGTCTTTTATTTCTAAAGGCCTCTGCCACAACATGTGTTTTTTGTTTAACATTTTATAGGCGTTTTTTACAGCCATAATCAAATAGCTTTCATCAGCATTAACAGAATAAACAATGATACCAGTTTATCAAAGACTTTTTAGTGGAGCACAGCAGGTATCTAAATAAATAATTTCTTTCAGTGTTTTAAGATCACTTCTTCTGGATAAGAGAGTCTTTCCTTGCCATCTTTGTTTCCCTTTGGAGGGAAGACAGTTCGATTTTGTTAATGGTCTTTCTGAGTGTACCCCATTCTTGCAATTTTTGCTCTCCTTGGAGACTTCAGACTCTGTTTGACTGCAGTAATGGCTTTTAACTTTATGCTTTAAAGTATTTTCCAAGACAGGTGGCATTGCAGCCTTTGTGCCACATGCCTTCTGGCAGAAAAGGGCCACATTCAGTTTCTGAAGCTTGTTACTGAATACTTAAGGAACACTGGGCCAAACCCGTATCCAGAAAACTGTGAAAATAAATAGTATTGGCAGTCAATAAATCCAGAAAGAATTTATGGGGTGATGGGGTGGAGAAACACAATAAAACGGTGTCTTGGAAAAATAAGAATGAATCACTGGTGGGTATCTAGGCAATAGCCTCGAGTGCAATAATCTCGAGTGCAATAATCATCTAGTGGCTGTTAGCCACCTCCTACTCTTCCCCCCAGCTATGCTGCACTCACAGTCTCAAGTCCAGACTCAGAGTCTACACCGTTGTGCAGGTAATTCCTCATCCCAAATGCATGTGTAATTTTCGTGTGTAATACTATCTACTGGAAGAATTAAATCTCTGTTGTTGAGAGGAAGGCCCTATCTGGACTTGTTTTCTCAATGACACGCAGTGAGGCAGTGGCCCCATCATCACCACTGACACTCCTTCTTGTGTAATCATTACCCATGTACTAAGTGGTACCCTCCTATAATTGTCACTTGGACTTTATTCACCACCTCACAGTTGCTCCTGCAGGTTGTTTTGCTCCTTATAGAAGTCACTGATGCTCAAATTTCTATCTCAACCCTTGCTGCTAAGAAGATGGCTTGATGGGCTTCCTTTCCTTCTTTGTTATGTCTGCTGGTCTTCTGTTCCACTCCTGGAGGTAGCAGCCGAAGATTTATTGTATCTCTGCCTCCAGATGTACTGGACATACTTCTTTTCAGGTCTGAAAATAGTGCTTTAAATCCAAAATGTCACAATATTTTAAAGAAACACGGATGATCCAGGCAGCTCCCAAACAGGTGCTAATGGAGTAAGACTGCCTGGTTCTCTCATGCCCCATCTCACTGATGAACACTGATGAAGGCCAGACCTGACCTGTTTTGTCATTTTCGTGCTTACCAGCAGCTCACAATCTTTCAGGAAAGGTCCATGTTATTTTCAGGATGTTCCAAGGCTCTCTTTTGCCCAGTTCAGAGACAGATTTCCACATGCGTCCTCTACTCTTAAGGCTTTGGGGCACAAGAATCACATTTCTGTGGTTTTGTCTCATGTTTTTCTTTATGGCTGCACTGACAGTGCCAGTCATCGTACTATCCTGGTGTTTCTTACTCAGTAACACTGTACGTTCTGTTTACTATCTTTATGATGTGGACAAGGACACAGAGTGCACCCTAAGTAAGTTTGCAGATGACAGCAAATTGGGCGGGAGTGTTGACGTGCTGGAGGGTAGGAAGACTCTCCAAAGGGATCTGGACAGGCTTACAACTCACTTATTTAAACTTTTAGACAAAGACTGTCAGATGCCTGGCATCCTAAAAAAAAATCTTAAAATCAGAGACATATGGTCTTTTATTAAAAAAGAAACCCAAACCAACCAAAACTAAAAAGCCTAACAAAAAAAAAAAAAAACCCGAACCAAAAAACCAGCAAAACCCAAAACAAACCCAAAACCTTCTTCAAAATCATGTCTTGGTAGTTCCTGTTGAAGTCAGTGAGGATTTTTTCATTAACTTAAATACCAAATAGAGCCCAAGGCTTCTTAATCAAAAGCAATGAAAGTCAGTCTTTTTATCTAAGTAAAGGATACAGGATGTGATACAATGCAAACTTGAAGCATATTATTTAACATTACGTCGTTACCTTAGAAGAGGCTGCACATAATAAGCTTTCTGGGAGTTACTTTGAACAGAGAGATATATGTGCACATTTTGGCATCAAAAGGTGTTTCCCAGCGGCTTGAACTAGAGTTCAAGTTTCATTCCAAAGGGTTTGGAAAATGATACATTAGAAGACATCCTATTGGTGCTGTTCTTCACTCTGAATAAGGAAATAACATAGGAAACCCTTTTCCTACTTGGTTTCCTGTAATTTTTTTGAACTTGTTGGTGTAATCCTACTTCCTCTTTCCAAACTGATTTATGTAATCAGTACTTCATAAAACTGTGTTCTTGAAAAAGGTACTGCAGTTTGAATTTCAGTGTGAGAGCAAGAGACCTTATTCTTCCTGTTATTTTTTAGTTAAACTTGAAAAGGAAAATTGGGAGTCAAACAAAAGTGCATGGTTGTTAAACAGAGCTATGACTGAGACATGGACTTCAGAAATCAAAAACTGGTAGAGAAAGACTTTTTGATTTACCTGGTCTTGAATTCCTTTTCAGCTTCCAACAGTGCTGACTTTCTTAGCACAGTCCTTCAAAAGTAAATCACATTAGCTCATGATCACCTTTTAATCTGCTGGTTTAAAATGGAGCCATCAAAATAGGAAATTCTCTCCCAGTCTCTTTTCAAGTTCATACAACTTTTAAAAATT